ACCATTAATTTAACTGTGGCAGTGCATGGCAAAGCTTTGTGGTGCATTGCCATGCGTTGTGATATGCGGTGTTGCAATTAAATATACGCCTCTATTGTATTTTCACAACACAAACAGCGCAAAAACGATTTTTAACATAAGTCGCTTAGTTACAGTTTTGCGTTCCATCATTTTTTTTACCTTTTCGCAAAAAGGTGCAATTTACAATGTGAAAATATTTGTTATTTATTAACTCAATACAGTTTTATCTTTTAGATTGTCAGAATTTTTTTTTGTGCACTGATACTGATTTTAGTGTTTTATCAATTGAATTGTGTATTTTTATCGTTTTAATACTGATTTGAAAAACATTTGCGCGAATATCGCAGGGCCTAAAAATTTAGTAGCACCATCTTTGTATTCTACTGGGCCTGTGCTTTCAGACAATATTTGGTTTGGGGGGGTCTTTTACAAATGCTAGCAATGCAGCAGTAAAAATTAAATCAATAGGAAAAATTGCAAAAATGGTATGGCCAGCTGAGGTGCAAAATCTTCCTGGAGGGATTGGCAGTGAAAGAGTTAAAACAGATCTCTAGGATTTTAAAAAGTGAACCGTTGCATTGGGGCTGCCCATTGTTTTGCCCTAGGGAGCAGAATAAAGATACACTCATCTGTTCTTCAGTCCTGTGGCTGTGAGCACTCACCTCTCTCTGGCTCCAATTGCGGAATGAACCTCGCCGTCCCCTCATCTAATGCAAGTAAATAGAACTTGCATAGACCTGATGATGTCAGCGGGCTTAGGCTTTATTATTTCAATGCACACATGAAAAATGTAAAACATTAAACAATAGTACAAATTGACGATACGTAGTAAATAGGGATAAATATCTAAAAAAAACTATATTTAATTCTGAAGGGTAATGTTTCTTCTATCTCTCAGGGACTTTGTTGGACAGATATCTGCATATTGTTCTGTGCTTGCACGATTGCTTGTCATATTATATAGAATTTCAATTGTCCATATTATTGTTTTTATTTTATATTATGGAGAATACAAGAAATGTTGGAATACACATAGGTCAGGAAAGATCTAACACTCCCAGAGTATCCAAGAAATATAAGAACATAGCAGTTCCTCATGTCTCTAAAATATCACTGTTGGCGGTAACAATTTACCTAATTCCTTACAACAGATTTATTTTGGTTTTAGAACATAGTTGTGGAGAGTCTAAACCTTCTCTCCTAGATAAACTATAGAACAGAATTCAGTTTTTTTTCCAATCATTTGGCTATTTGTACAAAGTTTATTCAAATGTACAAACTTATTTTATTTTACATATTTGCAATGCAGCCATCTTCAAAAAATGTGTGTGGCAATTAAAAATATTTTAGTGGCTGCAATACTAATCAATTCTATAAGAGAAATGAAAAAGGTATATTAAAACTGTTTTATGTTTACATGCATGAGAATGAAATGCTTTAAATTAATACAACAATAAGAATATGGCTTCTCTGTGAAGCTTTTAAAACAAGATCTGAGTTTATTTACATGTAAAATATTGATCATATAGATGAATATGGCTTTTCCAGTGTGTGTATCTTCATGTTACTTAAGATTTGTTGTCTATGAAGAATCCTTGCCTCATTGTCTACGTAGTTTCTCTCCTGTGTGTATCCTCTGGTGTATAGTAAGATGTAAACTTTGTGAGAAGCACTTGCCACATTCTGAACATTGGAATGGTTTATCTCCAGTGTGTATCCTGTGGTGTTCAGTAAGAGTAGCTTTTTGTGTGAAGCACTTTCCACATTCTGAGCATTTAAATGGTTTCTCTCCTGTGTGAGTCTTGTGGTGTTCAGTAAGACTTGTACTATGTGAGAAGCACTTTCCACATTCTGAACATTCAAATGGTTTCTCTCCTGTGTGAGTCCTCTGGTGTATATTAAGTTTAGAGCTTTGTGAGAAGCACTTTCCACATTCTGGACATATAAAAGGTTTCTCTCCTGTGTGAGTCTTGTGGTGTTTAGTAAGACTTGTACTATGTGAGAAGCATTTTCTACATTCTGAACATTTAAATGGTTTCTCTCCTGTGTGAGTCTTGTGGTGTTTAGTAAGACTTGTACTATGTGAGAAGCATTTTCCACATTCTGAACATTTAAATTGTCTTTCTCCTGTGTGGATCCTCTGATGTATAGTAAGACTATAGCTCTGTGAGAAGCACTTTCCACATTCTGTACATATAAATGGCTTTTCTCCTGTGTGAATCCTCTGGTGAACAGTAAGATGTGAACTTTGTGAGAAGCACTTTCCACATTCTGGACATATAAATGTTTTTTCTCCTGTGTGAACCCTAAGATGAACCTTTAGTTGTGACTTATCAGGAAAACTCTTCTGGCACTCGGAACACTCATGGGGCTTCTCTCCAACTCTACTCATCTTGTGATAAGGAAGTTCTGTATAGCTGCAAATGTTTTCCACAGTAGATGATGAGTGGCTAATTGTGATTATTAGTATAACTGTATGAAAAATGAAAAATAAAAGTTATCACAGAATCTTAAAATTAACAACAGACTGACATCAGATATTGTGTTTTGAGGTTTTTCTAACTGAACCACTTCCTCATTGCCCACAGCACCAAAAAGAAGAAACAGAGTGCACTGAATAATGAGAGTTTTAACGTCAGCACAGACTGAAGTTAAAACTCTCACAAAAAGTTTAGTATTAGGAGAGGAGACAAGCCAGGTGAAACACTCTGCTGTGAGATCTGAGAATACCTATGTGAAGTAAACTACAAACATGCCTAAAACTGATGCAAAGAAAGGGGATCATAGTTGTAATCTGGGTGGACATTCCCTACGCTAGCATGAAGGGACACGTCCCCAAAAAACATCAATTTAGTAGAGGTACTGGGGATTTTATTTTAGATGTCTTAGCTAAGACTCTCTCGGAGTGCACAGCAGATTTCCACCTGACTTATCTCATACTGCTGGCCATTTCCTATGAGCGTTTTAACTCCAGTCTGGAGTGTCTTGGTTTGCTTTTGGATGATATTCTTGGTGAAGGACTGAAAGCTACAAAATCTGATTCAAAAAATGTGATTCAAAAAGAAGAGAGGATGCAGAACCTTGTACGTTGCCAAAAATTTTGGAAAGCTGGTTGCACTCTTAGTCAATTTTAATGCAAATTTAGTCACTTTCGACTTATTTTTAGCAAATACACGAGGTGCTGTGTCCTTCCTCCTTTTTTTTTCTATTACAGTATTATGTTTTTTTCCCCTCAACAATGTTTGCAGTAGCAGTCACATGGGGTTTATGATTCACGGGACATTACCATAGTGTTGGATCGTACCAGCTAATCATACTGCATTATGATAGATTCCCATTTTTGTTTTGAAGTTGATTACAATGAGGATCTTAGAAGGAATTCTCAAATTTTTTTACACACATTCAAATCTTTCTTGTTATAATTTCTAAAACTTGATGTAAATTCACTCCCTGATTGATTGGTAGATTAGATTAGCTTTACAGTCAATTAATTATGATGATCTACTAATGCAGTTTAGAATCTTCGCTTAAAAACTTTGTGAATTTTTTTAAGTGAAAAAGTTATCCAGCTTTATGAAAAGCAAATCCTACTGCCTTTAAAAGCCTGATAATGTACAGATGAATTAAGTAAACTTATTTAATCTCAAGCAATTCAATTGGAAAAGGAGAACAACATTTAGGTACAAAATTGCTAAGAAATTAAATAAAACTGACTTTAAATAGCCAATAATGTGCAGATGAAATACGTAAACTTTTTAAATCTCAAGCAATTCAATTGGAAATTATGAACAAAATTATGTACAAGATTGATAAAAAATGCAATGAAATAAGACTGTAATACATTTGTCATAGTAAGCAGAAACATTTAAACAAACTACCCAAGTGCACCATTTACAGCATATAGATACCTGGAATAGTGTAGTATGAAGATATCTCAGCAGCTCCTTCCTCTCCTGACAATTCTGTAATTCCAGTAACTGACCTCACCTTAAATACAATTCACCACAACACACCAACATGAGGTGATATTAGATTTGCTAAATGATTTAATTTACCTAACAAAAAACCTATTTACAATATTGGACAGTGTGATAATCCATTTGCTATTATTTACCATCAAATACATTAACATTTTAATACTAGGAGGGTCTATGTCAGAAAGCATCCTTAACTTTTGCAGCTCAATAATTGGCTCAATAGATACCAACAACAGAAAACAGGTCGCATTTATTATCATTGGAAATATAAGAAAAAATATATTGATTTTAAAAAACATATAATTTATGTGTTTTTTTTTTAAATATATATATTTTCTCTGATACCTTTACATAAAATATTGAATTTTATTGAAAACCAGTCCAATGCTGGACTAACTTTATACCCAGTTCAATAGCCCAATGTAATGCTTGGATAAATGTTGGGCTTAATATGGCAACCTAGAGAGTAAACCTTTCCTGAAAACAACACAGAATTCTCCATCACAGATCTTCTGAAAATTAAGTTGCCTGTTGCTGCATATTTTCTCAGACACTTATCTGGAATGAGTATAATGCTTAGGAAAGTCAGAAGCTGTATGCTTTTTCCAGGTTAGTTTAAATCAATAGAGAGCAGAAATCCTTTAATAGTTCTGTCCATCACAATTATCTCTGTGCGATGGGCTGATACTTAATGCTAAATATCTCTCATTACATTGTAGCAGTCACAAATGACATGTATATTGGTATCTACATCCCTTCTATGAAAAACAACAAGCAATGAAATATGACGGACTGTCTTCATGCCCCGCTAAGATGCCATTTTTTATGTAACATCCAATTATGTATTCACTTTTAATCAGTTTTAGAAATGCTTCAATCAAATAACTGCAATGTTCGTGAGAAGTAGAGGCTCCAGTTAGGGAGGAAGAAGCAATAACAGTTTAGCAGCTCCCACCAACATGGCACTGCAGGGGGGGTCAATACACTAATAGGCTTAATCTACCTTGCAATAATTACAGTATGTCTGCAATAATCTAATTGAACAGTGTGACTATCCTTTGTTTTTACTTACCTTCCTAGTCAGTAACATTTTAATACTGGGAAAGAATATATTATGAATGAATCTTAATATCAAATGCATGAAACTGCCTCAGTGGATGCCAAAAGCAATTGACAAAATGACTTCAGTATGATGGAAGATGCCAACAGATACTTTGCAGTATTTCTTATTGATCACACATTGTTTTAACTGAATTCTTTATAATAAAATATGCACAGCTTCTTACTGGCCACATGAAGGCTGGCCATACACGGACCCATTATGTCCCCAAATACATAAAAAATGCCATTGTTGACTTTCTAAAAAGCTAGCCTGGCTATTATGCTGATCCTCTGGCATCAATATATTCATAATCACTTACCAGCAACAACTGCGTTGATGAGGATAATCTTTATGTATTTACTTTTTCTAGGTTAGGGATTCAAATTCTTAAAACCAAAATAGAGCTGCTACAGTGAGGACCATAGAAGGTATTTTCAATATTGTACACACGTTCAACTCTTTCTCTGTCTACTTTGTAAAAGCTGCTGCAAACTCACTCCCTGACTGGCTGGTAGATTAGCTTAAGTTTGAAGTCAGTTAATGAGGATGATTTACTAATCTAGTTGGTTTAGTTTAGAATCTTCATTTTACAAAATTGTGAATTTTAACTTCAGTTATACAATCATGTTAAAAAACGAATTCCTACTGATTTTAAATACCCAATAATGCGCAGCTGAAATACAGGTGAAACTCGAATAATTAGAATATCGTGCAAAAGTAATTGCAGTAAGTTCTGCAAAAGGGGCCCAAACCAAGTACTGAGTACATATGCATGCTTGTACTTTTCAGAGGTCCGATATTGTTCTATGTACAATCCTTGTTTTATTGATTGCATGTAATAATCTACTTTTTTGAGGTTGTGGATTTGGGGTTCTTGGGGTTTTCATGAGCTGTAAGCCATAATCATCACAATTATGACAAATCACGGCTTGAATTATCTTGCTTTGCATGTAATAAGTCTATCTCATATATTAGTTTCACCTTTTAAGTTGCATTAGTGAAATAAATGAACTTTGCACGATATTCTAATTATTCGAGTTTCACCTGTAAGTAAACTTTTTGAATCTCAGCAAATTCAATTGGAAATAATGAACAAAATGTATTTACAAAATTGCTAAAAAAATGAAATAAAATTAGACTGTAATACATTCAAACTGAAATTTGCCATAGTAAGCAACATTTGAATAAGTTACTTAATTGCACATTTATACAGCATATAGATACCTGGAATAGTGTAGTATGAAGATATCTCAGCAGCTCCTTCCTCTCCTGACAAAACTGTAATTCTAGTAACTGACTGAGCTCAGCCTCACCTTAAATACAATTCACCAACATGAGGTGATAAAAGATTTGCTAATAGGTTTAATTTACCTAACAAAAGGCATGTTTCCAATATAGGACAGTGTGATAATCCTTTGCTAAGTGCTAATTCTTTAGCATGTTAATACTGGGAGGGACAATAACAGGAAGAATCCTTAACTTTAGCAGCTCAAAAATTAGCTCAATAGATATCAACAACAGATAAAACAATGAGTTCATTATCATTGGAAATGGCCAACAGATACGTTTTGGTCTTTTAAAAAAAAAGAAATCCCACATTATTTTCTCTGAATACCTTTACATAAAATATTGAATTGTATCTACTAACCAGTGACATGTTTGACTAATTTTATAACCAGCTCAGTTGCCCAGTGTGATGCTTGTTTGGAGAATTTGCAGAAAGGATGTACAGTACAGCTTGAGGAGTGGTGATCTACAGATGTGTCTGCCTGTCCACAGACAGTGGTGATCACCTGAATTTATCAAAATAAACCAGGCTTGGATCTAAATACCTTCCACACTCCATGGCAACTTTTACGGATTATCTTCTTTATTCAGATACATTTCTGTATCCATAAAGAAGCATATATTTACAAAATTAATAGAAAATTAATTTACATTACATTAATACAAAATTGTTCTTGCTGGGAGGTGTCTCTTCTTTTGCTGCTGTTGTTGTTCTTGCTGCTGCTTTTACTGGTATCTCTGTATTTCTCTCACTACAGATTTTTTATAACAAATCTTTCTAAACAAATTAAGCTGCCCACCAATCCCAGTACCAACTTTGTCAATTTCTGGCATAGTTTCATTCTAACCCACCACCACCCCCTGCTACCCAACAAAACAAAATAGTCAATAAATATATAAAAGGATAAATAAATAAATTAAGGTGAAAAATACATCTTTTTAGAATCTTAAAACTTTAAAAATATATATTATTTTGCAAGACAGCTCCAAGGGCCTTCTGTCTGCTCTTGCTGCCCCCATGCAAAT